AAACCTGAATATGCGCTGCACCTGCTGCCTACTTATACTCACGCTGTGATCAGCAGCAGCTGGATGCAATAATCGCATGCCAATGTGCATTGGCTCGTTTAGTTTACACTCGAAGTAGATTGGTCCCTCTAAGCGAGATCCCAATTTCGGCGGTCCTCCGACGTGACGTCTCCGTTCCCTCCTTCAGGGAACGAGGGTTACATACGTAACCGAGACGTTATAGGATCCAGATAAAATAATAACTAGATATTTGGATGTGAAACACATTAATATCAGATGTGGGCAGCTTATGCTGAACTAGACATAGAATCTTTTTTTTTTCTTTTATTCTCATCAGCACTCAGTTTAAATGGCATTGGAAAAGGCAAGATCGTGTCCTCTGTCCCCTTATAAGCCCCTTACGAGGACTCTGTCCAGCCCCCTGAACTGGTCCCCTCTTTGATGGGCAGGGTCTCTATGGTTACGGGCATCCTGCATCCCTTCTTCATGTCTGTGACATCTAATTTTCTCAGCTCTCGCTGCGGTGTAGGGTGTGCTGAGAGGGATAATGATATGCTTTTAGCCGTGCTGACTAGCAATGGAGTCACAGCACACAAACACATCAGGCGTCATTAGTGGCTGTTAAGCACGAAATCTAAAACTTCATGTCTAGTCTTCTATGCAATCTATTATGTCCCCCTCCAACTCGACCTGCCTTTTGAGATATTGACAAGGGTTTGATTCTGTGGCTTGTTTCATCATTTGTGTTTATGAGAAGGCAATTACAGTTTAATTCTCACTCCCTTCAGACCCTTCAATCTGATGGAATAATACAGGCTGTGTATGAAAATGCAAAGCACACTTCTGGTATCACAGAAGTCAAACCTACTGAACTCACAGATTGCATTAGATGTAAAAAAAGAAAAAGAAAAGAAAGAAAAAGGCAAACCAGATTTAAAGTTTGTACTCAATATTTTGATATTTAAAGGAATAGTCAATTAAATAATATGAATATTCTGTCATTATTTACTCACCATGTTATTATATATTTTTTTATTTTCATAGCCTAAAATTTTAACTTTCAATTATTTTAAAGGATTAGTTCACTTCCAGAATGAAAATTTCCTGATAATTTACTCACCCCCATGTCGTCCAAGATGTTCATGTCTTTCTTTCTTCAGTCGCAAAGAAATTACGTTTTTTTAAGAAAACCTTTCAGGAATTTTCTCCATTTAATGGACTTCAGACAAGCATTTGTGGTAAAAATAAGTATATAAATTTGTATTTTTTTAGAAAATTACCAATCGTTTCACTAGATAGGACACTTGTTCCTCAGCTGGGATTGTGTACAGCCCTTTGAAGCTGCATTGAAACGGCAATTTGGACCTTCAACCCATTGGCCACCAAATTGTGAGTAAATTGTAAACTAGTAAATTGTGAACTACTCCTTTAAGATAAAAAAGGTAAATTATTTATTGTCAACAGCGTAGCAATGTATGAAGCACAGCTCTCAGAGAAGTCACTTTTAAGCAAGCAGGTTTCTGTTGGTAAATGCAGCATATTTGTGTGACCAACTTGAACATGTTCTGCATGTAGAAATCTTTTGCCATCATGTGAAATTCACATTCGTGTGGATTACTATTGGAGTGACTGGATTTCATCTACAACAATTCGCTGAAAGGTGCAATCACCATTGCTTGGTGAAATTTCGTATTTGAAATCCAGTCATGTTAATAGGAATCCATGCAATCTGGAATTTCGTGTGAGGGCAAACAATTTCCCCAAGTTCAAGTTAAGGTCATTGCACAATGAAATTCTCGTACGTTACAAATTAAATGCAACCTCACGTTGTGTCAATCACGTTTACACACTGCCTCCAAAACTTTCATCCGTCATAAAAAAAATTCGAATCAGGTTTGATTTTCTGCATTTTCGCATCCATTACAAGCATTTTGATAGGAAAGGATAACGAAAATGAAAAAATGCATATGAAAATTTCGAACTCGGTGTGCAATAACCTTTAGTCATGCAAATTTGCCATGTTGACCAACAGAAATCTGTTTAGTTTGAAAGTGACTTCTGTGTGCGGTGTGCTTTATACACCACTACACTGTGGACAACAGACAATGGACAGACCTTTTTTGTTATAGGAAATATGATCATTAAAAGGAACAGTTCATCCAAAAATGAAAATTTGCTGAAAATTTACTCGCCCTCAGGTCAATCCAAGATGTAAATGTGTGTCTTTCTTCATCAGAACAGCTTTGGAGAAATTCAGCATTACATCACTGGCTCACCAATGGATCCTCTGCAGTGAATGGGTGCCGTCAGAATGAGAGTCCAACCAGCTGATAAAAACATCACAATAATCCACAAGTTGTTAACATGAAACCAGTCGATCAATTAATGTCTTGTGAAGTGAAAGGCTGTGTGTTTGAAATAAGTAAATTCATCATTAATAGGTTTTTAACTTCAAATTGTTGCTTCCGGCTACTAATTTTTTATATTGCTGTCAGTGAAAAAGCTGTCTCGTATGAATCAGGAGAGGAATATGCACAGATCAAGCACTGTTTACAAGCAAAAACAGTACAGAAATTAAAAACAAATATGTTGGTAGATTTTGTCGAGAGAGGACAACAGGGGATGGACCTTTCTTTTTTTTACTGGAAGTGTAATTATGGATTATTGAGTCATATTTTGCCAAAACACACAGCTTTTCACTTCACAAGGTATCAGTGGTAGCCTGTAGTCTAAATCCATTCATGTAATAAAGTACCTTATTGCATAACAATTTATTGTCTGATTATTTTACTGCACATAAAATATACAACCAACACTATTTTAATGTTGCATTTCATGCCATCAACTTCCCACTCGCTGTTTTTTGCTCGTCAGAAAGACAAAGAGAGTGTTCTAAAACAATAACACACTGTTCAACATGAGCAAATGTGACCTACACCTGAGGGCAATTGTAGAGCCAACAACAGCACAACGAAGGGCAAATAACTCAAAGAACAATGACTTGAATAATTCAGAAACTCCAAATATAGATTTTTGATCACCAGTGGCAATATTTCTTCCACAAATGGCATTCAAGTTCCGGCGTGTTCTTCCTTTGTGCTCAAATGTCTTAGTTAGTCACCCATGGTATGTTTGTGTCTGTTCAGGATCCTACCTTCAAATGTCACCACAGAACCAAATCAAGAATTATTGATGGTGATAGAAAACATTGCTGGAGGCAACAGGTAAACGCAAAGACACAGACAACGCAGAACTAATGAAGTGAGAGTGCTCTGCGATGCCCTCTGACCATGTGACAAAGATCTAACATGGAACATAATGGCATTTATGTAGCACTGAAACATTACTCGCCTGCGGATAAAAGAAAGACTATCAAGAGAAAAGAAACAAGACATTTTGATTGAGGCCTTAGTCCGTTTGTCTCAAGTCATATTAGATTTGCTGGATAAACAAGGCAAATTGCTAATCATTTAAAAATGTACTTGTGTGTCATTTGAATGCCTGTTGCTATTAGTTTACAATTCACATGGTTTCCTTCCACACAGACAGTGTTATTGCAATTAAACAGAGCATTAGCATCATAATAAATGAGCAGCTTGTGTCACAACCTTTTTTCAAAAGGTTTTCAGAAGGTTTGAAAATTGAGGTGTGAATTTTTCTACTCTCACATTACCTGCGGCAGATTAAGCGTTTGACATTTGCTCCTTTCATAGACACCATTTAACTGTAAGATATAATAATGTCTAAATTAGGAATGCATATGAAGGTGGCATTACAAACTGCTCAATTATTATTTAGCAATAACTAATGAGCCTGTAGTTCAACTGGTGATGCAAGGTGATGGCAATGTTAAGGTTGTGGGTTCAGCCCCGAAAGGAACACATATCACTGAAAAAAATTTACTGATTTAACTGAACATCACTCAACCAAAACTCATTTTATGGGTTAAATCCAAGCGGCAACCTCCCGCTCTCTCTCGCTTCAAAAACACTCTTTGGAAATCTACGGGTGACGTCACGGACACTACGTCCATGTTTTTATACAGTCTATGGTTAAATCAGGTAGAGGTAGCTCTTTAAGGTAACATGTGTCTTGAATGTACAAAGTTTCTTTGAATAAATTTGGGTCAAGCACTGAAAAAATAGCTTTTGCTTTTTTTTATATATATATATATATACTGTATATATTTGTGTTTGTGTGCGTCTTAGACAAATACTAAATTATGAATTGTCTTCTTATGATGAATTATCTATCAATCTATCTAGACCACAGCTCCAACACGTTTTCCCATTTTCACTGTTATGTCATGTACTCGTTGTTATATATATACATATAAATATATATATATTCATGATGTCAACTAGTTTCACATTCAACAGCAATGACACACTGATGCAAGTAACTCAGTACTTATGCATACTTATTGCATAACCATGAATGCCTACATTTGGAGGACAAATAATTAAAGTAGACTGATGGCATGCATGTGTTTACATATGGATATTCAAACTAACTTGCTTTTACATGTTTTCTGTTAAAGCTAGCTTGTTTTTGGCAGTGTCGACAAATACAAGTGCCATCAAGACAGGACAAATACGTGATGTACTTAAAGAACTGGAGTGTTCAAAATATGGTCTCAAAATTATTTTGCCTAACAATTTTTTCCCTTCTCATATGCCTCAATTTGTTAAACAAAAGGGCAAACCAAAATAAATATGTTAGTAATGCCTTGAATTTACCAGCAAATAATTATTAGACAAGGGTTTCATTTAGAATAATGACCTCAAGCACACCCTCTCATCAACTGCAATTACTTATAATTCATTGACAAGAAAAATTACCACCACACAAACTGTCAATCAATTAATCTGGTGTATTAAGAGTCAAACAACAACAGCTTGTGAATATGCCATTCAGATGAGCTTGTAACAAACAGCCTATATGTGATTTGTTCTTCAGGGAAAACGTTTAAATATAGCACTATTACAGCATCTAGTTCTGTGATCAATTATATATTTATTCATCAGTCAGTTTAACATTAATTTGATGTTTGACCACAGTAAATGAGACATCTTTTATCAAAAAAGCAACTCTCTTAACCATGCTTTATTCTTTTTTTTAATGCTGAAAAACAACAAAGGTCCATAAATAGCTTAATCGATCAATAAATAAATAAATAAATAAATATCATCATCAATGTCTTTAACAAACAGACTGTGTCAGAGTAAGTCCACAGAGACCTTTCTTCAGACACTGGAGATGGTATGTACGGTGGAGGTCTACACAGTTCATGTCAGGTATCAGGTAGGATCGCGGCATCGTTACAGGACTGGCGCCGTTAACATGATGTGAAGGTCTTCCAGAAGAAGTTTTTGCAGGGGGCTTTGCGGTCACGCTGCGGCAGCTGTGATAACCGGTTGTAGACGGCCCGTTCTTCCAGACGGGACTCCAGGGGCTCCTCCACATCCAAGGGGACAGGCGCTATCTCCCCAGCCAGCACGCTGTTGTCTGCTCCATCCAACAGCCCAGAGATCAGCTTCAGGATCAGCTCCTTGCGCTCTTTGCTCAGCTCCTGAAGAGAAAGCAACTGGACTTGAATTAGAATGCAAGATTTTAAAGACTTCAACTATTCAGAATAATAATAATAATAATATGGCTGCTATACTAAAATGATCCCAGAATGGTCTCTTTCAGACGCTAAACATCAACATGTGTCTAAAATACAAACACCTGCTTGGTAAATCCATAAAAGCTACAACTGGAAGCACATTTACAGCCACTCACCCTACTTTGTGCTGGGTTCCTCTCCTCCACTGGAAGCACAGCTGCTGCTCGGACACTATACAGCACCAGCAAAAGAGACACTAGGCTGGACAAAAGCTGCATACTGACAAAATAGTTGAAGTTGAAGTGCGCAGAAAGGTCGGTAAGAGAAGCGAAGCAGGAACTTCGAAGTCCTTGCAGCTCCTGGTGCAGAGTAAAGCTGGAGAGATCTTGGTTTTTGAGAGCTTCAGGTGGCAGGGTCCTTATATACCTCTCGTTCCAGTCCCCTACTGACGCAGTGCTTGGAGGATGGAGGGGAGAGGGTGGGGGAGTGGGTGGCTTAGGAACTAACAAAAGCATTGAGTAGTTAACCCCCCAACAAACCAGTCGTGCCGGTGGGGAGGACTGCACCACGACGCTCACGTCATAGCTCTAAAAATGGTCGTGATTTCAGTTAAAACGGATGCGAGGTGAAAAAACACTGATGATGACGGAGCTACCGATAACGTGATTCTGAAAAGTTCTGTGGGCCGCTCATTGTTTATGCTAATTATGATTTACAATTCTTTAGAGCCAAATGACATGCAGGCAGCGAATCATGTTTTAGGAAGTACGGCGGTCAGACGTACGCTGTAATTACACGCCGTTCTCACTCAGAGCTGCATTGTGATATCAATACAAGGAAATCAAACTAACCCGTTTTGTTGTGTACAGTGTCAATCTGCTCTCATTCCAACATGTAATTGAGCACTACTCCTCCTCCTTCTCCTTCAGATTGCCATCGAACCGTCTGGCACCTGGAACAGCTGAGAAATGGTCTTTATGGAGAAAGAAGATGCTTTTGATCCGTAGATGAAAAGAGGCTGAATAAAAAGAATTAAGTCTTTTATGAAAATGTAACGGCAGATTTTACCATGGAAGAATATCAAGTGAGACAAACATTAGCACAAAAAGCAAACAAGATTATGGTTGAGTCAATACTACAGCAGCAAATCTAATAGAAAAAAAGCTAATGAAATATAAAGATGAGTTCGTTTTCATGGAAAATGGTCTCTTGAGGTATAGATTTCTCTTCATTAGTCTGTAAACGCATTACAGACTAATAACTGTTGAACAAATAGAAAACTTATCAAAGAAACATTCCAGGGTTCTATACAAGTTAGTTACCTCAACTGACACCATTTGACAGATAATACAAATTGTAATTCAAATTAATTTCTTTTTCTTTAAAAAGCAAAAAAATCTGGGTTTAATCAGTGAGACACAATAGAAGTGAATGGGGGGGAGGGGGGGGGGCAACTATTTCAATAGCTTAGCCACAAAATAATATGTGCATTAATATAATTTCAGAGTGATGTAGTTATATCTAATTTGACAACATAATGACAACATAACACCTAAAATGACTGTAAAATTATTAATTAAAATGTTAGAGCTCAAATAATACATTAGTTAATAATAAAATTGTTTTAACAGTGGAATTAATATAAATGTTTTAATGAAATTATAAGCTTTACATTTCTGACTTTAAACCCCCCCAAAATTGGCCCCATCCATTTTTATCATAAGTGCCTGACTGTAACCAGTGATTATTTGACATCAACTGTAGTTGTACCTGGTATATTCCTCTAACTGGAACCTTATAACATGAGCATAAGAGAAATAGCATAAGTTATGTTTTGATTGTTAAAGTCAGCATGAAACGGAAATTTTGATAATTTTACTTCCCTATTGTGGCATATATCCCAGTGAAACATTTCTCAAACAAGAAAAAAAATGTAGGGCAGGATTTGATTTGTCCATCAGGAATTAAGCATTTTCATTTACTAACTGCTGTGATCATATGTGACCCTGGACTACAAAACCAGTCATAAGTAGCACAGGTATATTTGTAGCAATAGCCCTCAATACATTGTATGGGTCAAAATTATCGATTTTTCTTTTATGCCAAATTTTATTAGGATATTACGTAAAGATCATGTTCCATGAAGATATTTTGTAAATTTCCTACCATAAATATATCAAAACTTAATTTTTGATTAGTAATATGCATTGCTAAGGACTTAATTTGGACAACTTTAAAGGCAATTTTCTCAATATTTTGATTTTTTTTTTTCACCCTCAGATTCCAGATTTTCAAATAGTTGTATCTCAGCCAAATATTGTCCTAACAAACCATACATCAATGGAAAGCTTATTTATTCAGCTTTCAGATGATGTATAAATCTCGATTTCAAAAAAATTGACCCTTATGACTGGTTTTGTGGTCCAGGGTCACATATGTGAGCGACAGGTTGCTAAAGGGATTATTGTCCCACCCTCTCGCCAGTGCACACGTCATCAGAGAAGAGATGTCGTTGCAAAGGGAGGGGATGTTAATGTTTTTGATTAAAGATTTAAAGGCACATGAATTAAAAACAACAAAACAGTTGTGCACAGATAAATCATTTATAATTCAAACTGCAATATTCCATAAAACAAAAATTTCAATTTGAATTTCATGGTGACTTTTAGTGTTTTAATTACTCTTTTGTGCAGATAGCACTATACTCAAAAGTGCTGTACAGTGTGCATAAGCAGTCTATGTGTGTGTTTAATTAAACCAGAATGAGAAATGGTAGCCTACCAGACCAGTTGGGCAGTGAAAATAAAACATGTCTTGGTCATGGGCTCCTGTCGTGTTCTCATTCCGGTCAGCTTTTCTGGCACCCACACACCTCTTTGGATATGCATACACACACCCCGACTGAGTTCACGTAGCTAGGAGCCCTAATACTCGAGCTTTAGCACATTTTTCACAGCAGACCGATACGGACAGACTTCAGGGCCCCGGGCTCTGTAGAGATTAACACAGCGTTGAGATGAGCTGCCCCCAGCCGAATCGTGATAAAGTGCGTTTGAAGAATTCATGCCAATTGACCAGTGCCAAACACATCTAACGTTCACTTCCCAACCGACTTCAAACATATCTGGCGTCAGAGTAAAATGCCTCCTGTTGTCTCAGCGGTGAGTTTTGATGACTTCATATCAGGGTTACTATAGTTAATAAAATAAACACTAACTGAAACACACACATGTATGCAGAGCTGGTTAGATTACTTACAAACTGTAATCCATAACTGATTCCAAATTCCATTAAACAATTTTTAGTTAGTAACCTAATCCATATATTACACATTTTAGGTAATATAATCAGACTACTTTTGGATTACTTTTAGATTGTTTTTGACCTAATTTATCACATTGATTTAAATAGGATAATCTTGTACCATATAGAAAGTACAAAGAGAAAGTAAATATATTCCATTAATTATTAATAACATGAAATGCATTAAGCATTGCATTATGTCAAGGTTTCCCAAACTTGGGTTTGTGAAGGAACTGCAGGGGGTTTGTGAGTTTAACGAAAAGCTAATAATTAATTCAATCATAAATATGTAAAAATTAAAATAATTTTAAAATTACTAAGAAAAATTTAATATTTCATTTGTTTACCTTCATGTCATGAGTAAGCTATTTTAGAAAGGAACCTTTAAAAGATGAAAAAAACGAATTAGGCAAAATTATATGACTAATATGTAATCAATTAAAAGTAACTGTAGTCTGATTAGAAGTAGCCTATTTTAAAATGTAATCTAATGATTAGATATTTAGTCATTAGATATTATAAAAACGAAAACGAAAATAGCATGACTAAAATCTATCACACATCTCACATCTAAAAACACAAAGTCACTACAAATTGAACTAAAATTAAATAAAACTGTAATAGTATCTCAATTATGCTGACACTGCTTCGTGTACATTATTAATTTATGGGAAACGCGAATACTCGGGCTAGTCCAAATAAATAATAGTCTGCCAAAACATTAAAACATTGTTTTGTGGCGTTACCCTGTGTAGAAATTAATAAACACAGTAATGTCAAGTATGTCCACTTTTCTAAAGAATTTATAGTCGACATAACTATGAATTTTTATACATATTTTGACGGAAAGTTGAATATAAAATGTGAAGGCTCAAAACAATCGGAGCAACTATTTAGGTTTATAAACTGTTGATCTATAACTGAAGCAACATCGACAGGGACATTTTTGCAACATTTACAATATAATACACATATAAAGAGCACTGTTGACAGCAGAAATATTTACCTGCAGTGACTCCTGATACTCGTCGCAAACATATCCCATACATCATTGCAGTCAAATAATGCCAGGATGTTTGTAGGCCGACTTTAGTATCAATGGCGCCATCTAGTGCATAGAATGGCACTTTACCATCAAACATTTCATTATACGGAGCCAAATTTTACAGAAAATTAACAAATTGTGGTTACATCATTTTTATTTCAAAACAATTTATGAAATTGGCAAAATGAAATTTACATCATAAATATTAAATGGTAAAAGGACAAATAAACCCTCTTCCATACAGTTAAACTTGACAGAGTACAAAATAGTTTGTCCTATGCAACTATCCTTAAAAGATCTTTAGCTAGCCATCAAATACTGTTATTTTGTCGTAAAGTATACCGCCATGATTATATTCAATATTAAGATAATGTCTCGATGTTTGAGACTTCCAGTAATTCTAATGTTAAGAGACACCGCAAAATCGTTCCATCATACAGAGTCCATTGACCATGAGCATATGTTTGCAATACAATATAGCATATCACTCAAAAAGGCTGCATACCAAACACTATTTGCTCTACAAAAAAAGAAAAAAGAAAAAAAAGTCACATGTAATCAGACTTGTTCAGGAGAGCCAGAGCACAGAGAGGGAGCCCATATGCCACCTTACACAAACCATTTCAATGTTAGATACTCTTAACTGCAGAAAATAGCTTCCAGTTTTGCTAGTTACGTTAAGCATCTTCTGTACAGACTTTAGAGGAGTAGTTTTAGAAATTATAGCAATACTAAATAGGTTTAGGTTTGACAGTAGTGTACTGTTGATAGTGATCCATAATATGAAACCTTAATACAGCATGAAAAGCAAATCTATTATTGTTACTGACCTCAAGTCTTCTAAAGGGTTTATAGAGACGATATGCAGTTCATTTAAAATACCTGCATGCTTATTTACAAACCCGATTCCAAAAAAGTTTGTAAATAAATGCAATGATGTGGAAGTTTCAAATTTCAATATTTTATTCAGAATACAACATAGATGACATATCAAATGTTTAAACTGAGAAAATGTATCATTTTAAGGGAAAAATAAGTTGATTTTAAATTTCATGGCATCAACACATCTCAAAAAAGTTGGGACAAGGCCATGTTTACCACTGTGTGGCATCCCCTCTTCTTTTTATAACAGTCTGCAAACGTCTGGGGACTGAGGAGACAAGTTGCTCAAGTTTAGGAATAGGAATGTTGTCCCATTCTTGTCTAATACAGGCTTCTAGTTGCTCAACTGTCTTAGGTCTTCTTTATCGCATCTTCCTCTTTATGATGCGCCAAATGTTTTCTATGGGTGAAAGATCTGGACTGCAGGCTGGCCATTTCAGTACCCGGATCCTTCTACGCAGCCATGATGTTGTAATTGATGCAGTATGTGGTCTGGCATTGTCATGTTGGAAAATGCAAGGTCTTCCCTGAAAGAGACAACGTCTGGATGGGAGCATATGTTGTTCTAAAACTTGGATATACCTTTCAGCATTGATGGTGCCTTTCCAGATGCGTAAGCTGCCCATGCCACACGCACTCATGCAACCCCATACCATCAGAGATGCAGGCTTCTGAACTGAGCGCTGATAACAACTTGGGTTGTCCTTGTCCTCTTTAGTCCGGATGACATGGCGTCCCAGTTTTCCAAAAAGAACTTCAAATTTTGATTCGTCTGACCACAGAACAGTTTTCCACTTTGCCACAGTCCATTTTAAATGAGCCTTGGCCCAGAGAAAACACCTGCGCTTCTGGATCATGTTTAGATATGGCTTCTTTTTTGACCTATAGAGTTTTAGCCGGCAACGGCGAATGGCACGGTGGATTGTGTTCACCGACAATGTTTTCTGGAAGTATTCCTGAGCCCATGTTGTGATTTCCATTACAGTAGCATTCCTGTATGTGATGCAGTGCCGTCTAAGGGCCCGAAGATCACGGGCATCCAGTATGGTTTTCCGGCCTTGACCCTTACGCACAGAGATTGTTCCAGATTCTCTGAATCTTTGGATGATATTATGCACTGTAGATGATGATAACTTCAAACTCTTTGCAATTTTTCTCTGAGAAACTCCTTTCTGATATTGCTCCACTATTTTTCGCCGCAGCATTGGGGGAATTGGTGATCCTCTGCCCATCTTGACTTCTGAGAGACACTGCCACTCTGAGAGGCTCTTTTTATACCCAATCATGTTGCCAATTGACCTAATAAGTTGCAAATTGGTCCTCCAGCTGTTCCTTATATGTACATTTAACTTTTCCGGCCTCTTATTGCTACCTGTCCCAACTTTTTTGGAATGTGTAGCGGTCATGAAATCCAAAATGAGCGAATATTTGGCATGACATTTCAAAATGTCTCACTTTCAACATTTGATATGTTATCTATATTCTATTGTGAATAAAATATAAGTTTATGAGATTTGTAAATTATTCCATTCCTTTTTTACTAACAATTTGTACAGTGTCCCAACTTTTATGGAATTGGGTTTGTAAAATAACTGAACATAAACATAGGAGCTTGATAAAATAACCATTTTAGAAGAA